ACGCCTGGCTATTTTTTTTTTTGGTTGCAGCCGTCATTGTTGTTTGGTGGGCCCGGGCTGGATTCGAACCCGCCACCTTGGGTGTACATGGCTGGCGCCTTAGCCACTTGAGCCACAGGCACCAAGCCAAATGATTTTAAATTAAAAAAAATAAATTTTAAAGACAATGAAGAGAAATAAGTGATACTATTTTCATGTAAGGCACTGATTCAACATATATATAATTTTAATATGCCTTCAATATATAAAAAATGATCACTGGGATATTTTCTTTTTTTTTAGAGACAGAATCTCACTTTGTCACCCTCGGTAGAGTGCTGTGGTGTCACAGCAACTTCCAACTCCTGGGCTTAGGCGATTCTCTTGCCTCAGCCTCCCGAGAAGCTGGGACCACAGGCGCCTGCCGCAACGCCTGGCTATTTCTTTGTTGTTGTTGCAGTTTGGCCGGGGCCAGGTTTGAACCCACCACCCTTGGTGTATGGAGCCAGTGCCCTACTTGCTGAGCCACAGGTACCACCCTGAGACATTTTCCATTTGGTTTTTTTTTTTTGCATTTAGTCTTTGAAATCTTGTCTGCAGACTACAGCTCAATTTAGACTACAGCTCAATGAATTGGGCCTCAACGTGGGCCAAGTGCTCAGTCACTGGGTGCCGTGCAGGACAAGGCAGCCCTTCGGGAGGCACTTTAGGGGCTGAACAAGGGAAGGAGGAGGAGGTGGATGAGGGCAGGACAGAGTTGTCATCACCATCATCATCATCAGGGCACAGACGGGGTGAGAGAGAGTGGAGGAGAAAGGTATTTAGAGTTCAGTGGCAATAGCATGGAATCCCTCGCTTTCAGCACTGAATGTTCTGAAAGAGCCCCATCAGCAGTGGGGAGGGCAGTCAGTACACTGTCCCTGTTTCCTGTCCTGCTGTATCACCAGGAACAAGACACTTACTTTCAATGGGGTCAGCGCCATTCGCTGGAACCAGCAACCTTCTCTTCTTCGACCCTTCAACTCCTGCCTGTCCCTGAAACACACAGTGGGGAATAACCTTGATCGGGGTCAGGAATCCTGGATTCCACTGTGGCCCCCACAACCCGCCCACTGTGACCCCTGTGGCATGTCTTTTCCTGAACATTGTTCTATTGTTCTGAAAGTTCTGGCATCTAGACAGGAAGAAAAAATAAAGCAGCAAGATTCTTGGAAAAACCCAACACCTGTGGCACATCACTTCCACGTCACTGTTCTGAAAGTTCTGGAATCTAGACAGGAAGGAAAGGAAAGTTTCCTTGGAAGAGGCCGACATAATAATCCTTATTTTAGACAATAGGACTGCATATCTTAAAAAACTCCAAGTTTAAACAGCAACACCAAAAAATGAATATGTCCAGATGAACATTAAAACAGTTAGCAGTGACTTCCAAACAGTGTGACAGAAAGCAGCAGCAGGGGCCCTGGGCAGCCGGGCCCACCCGTGCCATCCTCCTGCAAAAGGTAGTTCTGGGCAGGGTGACAAGAGCCATTCACTGTGTATTTGTCTTTGTTTTTTGGTTGTTTTTTTTTTTTTTTTTTTGAGATAGAGCCTCAAGCTGTCACCCTGGGTAGAGTGCCATAGCATCACAGCTCGCAGCAACCTCCAACTCCTGGGCTCAAGTCTCCTGCCTCCACCTCCCAAGTAACTGGGACTACAGGCACCTGCCACAACGCCCCGCTATTTTTTGGTTGTAGCTGTCATTGTTGTTTGGCGGGCCTGGGCTGGATTAGAACCCGCCAGCTCAGGTGTATATGGCTGGCACCTTCGCCGCTTGAGCCAATGGCGCCGAGCCTTCGTGTTTGTCTTTGAATGAACATAAGGTGTGGATCTGTTTTCATTTTTGGCTGGGGGTTGTTTATAGTCTTAGGTCACTGAAAGTTACTACTCCCCTTAAGATATTAAATGACTGGGTTCCCCCCCCCCCAAACAGGTAGCAGACACAAAAAATTAGAAAACAGAATTACAAAAAGACACTAAATACAAAAGAACAACTTTGACAAGGAATAGGAATAGGCTAGCTGCTAGACTAAAGATGCTGCACAATAAACCACCTATGCCATGTGCATTTGTTTACAGGCATGGAAGAAACTAGTGCCTGAATTATTAATCTCTTTACTTAATTATAAACTATCCCTATGGGGGGCCTCAGGAACACATTCGTAAGTACTGTCAGGTTTTCTGTACCCCAGGGACTGCCTACATATATATTTTTTTCTCTTTCTTTTCTGTAGCTTACACAGAAAAGTAATACTTCTCTTTATTTAAAAAGAATGTGGGCCAGGCACAGTGGCTCACGCCTGTAATCCCAGCACCTAGGAGACTGAGGCGGGTGGATTGCCTGAGCTCACAGGTTCAAGACCAGCCTGAGCCAGAGTGAGACCTCGTCTTTAAAAATAGCCGGGCGTTGTGGCAGGTGCCTGTAGTCTCAGCTACTTAGGAGGCTGAGACAAAAGAATCACTTGAACCCCAAAGTTTGAGGTTGCTGTGAGCTGTGACACCACAGCACTCTATGGAGGGCGATAAAGTGAGACTCTGTCTCAAAAATAAATTAAATTAAAAAATAAAATAAGATAAAGAGATTGTGATATACATGCAAGAAAAGAACAGAAAGGAACCATGTAGGTGGGCTGAGCAGGTGGCTCATGCCTGTAATCCTAGCACTCTGGGAGGCTGAGGTGGGTGGATTGCTTGAGTTCAGGAGTTCGAGACCAGCCCAAGTAAGAGACCCCCATTTATACTAAAAATAGAAAAACTGAGGCAAGAGGATTGCTTGAGCCTAAGAGTTTGAGGTTGCTGTGAGCTATGATGAGGCCATGCCACTTTACCCAGGGGGATAAAGTGAGACTCTATCTCAAAAAAGAACAAAAAAAAAAAAAATAAGAAAGAAATTGTACTTCTTTTTGGAAGCCTCCCTATACACAGGAGCAGAAATATGGAAAAAGATTTACTTCCAAATATGTTTAATGTAATAATACTCCTGGAGCAAATTTAACTCTCCTGCTATTATAAGCAAGGTCTCCCAGAGTTCTGTTAGGAGCACACGGGATCATGCAGCCCTTATTCAGTTATCAAGAAACCCTGGTGCCCACTCTGTGCCCGCATGACTCCAGGCTCTGACGACACAGTGTAATCAGGACAGGGATAAGAAGTAGGAGGCCCGGCTCAGCACCTGTGGCTCAAGTGGCTAAGGCGCCAGCCACATACACCTAAGGTGTTGGGTTTGAATCCAGCTGGGCCTGCCAAATAACAATGATGCTGCAACCAAAAAATAGCCACTTGGGAGGCTGAGGCAGGACACTCGCTTGAGCCCAGGAGTTGGAGGTTGCTGTGAGCTATGATGCCACAGCACTCTACCCAGGGGGATAGCTTGAGGCTCTGTCTCAAAAAAAAAAAAAAAAAAAAAGACGTAGGAGGCCCCATAGAGTGGGATGGTCACCAAACTGGGGCAGCTGCTCTCACCCCTGCAGCACTGTCACCTGCGGTCCCTCCACCCCCTCTGGTTCTACCTTCCCCTGGACCAGGACAGCAAAGGCAGCACCCTCCCCCTCTTGTCTGCAAAATCATGAGACTCTGCATAGCTGCCCCCGACTCACCAGAAGACACTGTTTCTCCTGGGGGGAAGGTGGGGTGACAACTCTCAGCTCTGCCAGCTCCTGCCTTTTCATCTCCTCCGGTTCAAAGTCCAGGGTGGACTGAGAGTCTCTGATGGTCAGCATCTGGTTGTCAGTGCTGTCCTCTGCCCCAGGCCCTTGTGGGACTCTCCAGAAACAGACCTTGGAGAGGCAAAGAGCAGACTCAGAAGCACATACCCAGGGCTGCCTACAGGTCCCCCAAGGCCCTGCTCCCCCTCCCATCCGCAATGGGGTGGCCCCAGGTGGCCAGAGGTTCAGCACATGCTGGCACTACGCTCCTGCCACTATGCTAAGGCAGGTCACCCCATCCCTAGGGTGCAGGGCTATGGGGTGGGGGCAGCACCCAGGCTGGAGGAAGGACAGGGCTGCAGGACAGCATACTGCCCTGTGGGGTACTCAGAGTGACCATGTGCCCCTCTTGGTCAGCCAGAGCCCCCAGGCCACTGCAGAGCCAGGGCAGCCATACAGGACAGTGGTGTGGGTAGGAAGCTGGTCCTGAGCACCCGGTGCCCCCTGGTCCTGGAGAAATCAACTCACTCTGTGCACGATCGTGGTGAGACCTGGAAGGGAAGGGGTCCCCTTAGCAACTGGTGAGGGTCCCAGGCAGCATGAACTCCCAGAAGGCAATGTCAGGGCAGGGGCAGGCTGGGGGCTGAGACAATGGACAAGCAGCCCAGGGCCTGGGGACAGAGATGGGGCCTTTCCAACACTAAGTTCCCCTCAGGAAGAAGGAGGAGGAAGAAACTGAGTAAAACACACGTGTCCAATCTCTGGTTCTGCTCTGAGCAAACTGTGACCCCCCTAACCTCTCCTGGTCCTCACCCTGCTCCCCCAGTGGAGGAGCTGGCTCCTTCCCTGCCTGGCTGGGCCCAGAAGATGGGAGGGTAACCCAGACTTGGGAGATGAGGGCACCACCATCCCCGAGAGAGGAATTGATGGATCTTGGTTCTTGGGGAGTGTGTGAGGCCAGAGATGGAGCGATCAACACAGAGAGACAAGGATGTGGGACACAGGAGGGCGCTTCTGCCTGGGCAGCAGGGTGGGGGAGGAGCAGGGAGTACCCAGGGGCCCCTCCCTCAACCAACACCTACCTGAGCGGACGCATATACACCAACACATTATTGCTATAATCACCACTACTCCCGCGATGACCAGAGCAACTACAAGCCAAATCACGGAGACCTCATCGCCTGGAGAAGGGAGAGGACCAGTAGAATTCCCCAGACTGGTGCTCCCTGGCCCTCCAGGAGCTGGGCGTCTCCACCCAGGCGCCTTAGTACCTGATTCTTCTGGGACACACTCTATGTCACTCAAGGGGGTACAAGGCGTTTTCATGACCATCCCAGCAGGACACCTGGGTACACACAGGGAGGACACGCAGGATTCTGTGAGGGACAGCTGGCTAAATGGGACCTTAGAGAAGCCTCCCTCCGTTCACTGTCCCTGAGCAGGTGACAGAGGAAGGACAGGCTCCTCCTGTCCCCAGGGTCCCACTCTCCCGTGATGAGTCTGGGGAAGGATCTGAGCTTGTGAACTTCAGTCCCCCAGAGTCCCCCGTCAGTGGTCAGAGCTGCGGCCTCCAGGATTCCTCCTTGCTCAGCACACACAGGTTCCCTGCTGCAGCTTGGAGCTGCAGCGGACACCCCGAGTTAAGCCTCACTCCAGGGGAAGGTCAGAAGTGGCTACAACCTGAGCCACACCCTCCAGCCTTCCCTGGTTATCACTGAGCTCCTGTCCCCGCTGCCTGCCCGGCCCTAGAGATCACAGAGCACACTGGTGGTCAGAGAAGCCATCACTGTGGGCCCCTAAAGCCCCCAAAAGGGAGAAGACAGGCCTTGATGGACAAGTGGCCAGAGTGAGGACAGCTGCATTGGCTCCGGTCATCTTGGGAATCTAAAAAGAGCCACACTCACAGCCTGATTATGACTTCTGTGGGCCACAAGCACTTTTGTCTTCTTAAAACTATTACAAATTGCATTTTAGGACTCAATTTGTTTAAGGATAAATACATCCTAGGCTGGATTCTTTGCAGTTATGATTTCAAAATAAAATATTTCATGGACCTCCGAGAATATCATAGGCCTCCTATGCCTGGGGAGATATATGCTGGGCAAGTCTGGGAAGGGGCTGCTGCAGGGGGCAGGGTGGGACAGACAGTTGACCAAAAGGGGCCACCACAGGCTCAGGACACCTCAGGGAGTCAGAGACACCTTGTGGGATGGAGGCCTCAAGGGGGGCAGGAAAGAGAAAGGGTTAAAAGGAAACTCAGTTCTCCTGAGGTCAAGCTTGCCTCCCGTCTCACCTAGGGGTGCACGGCTGGCAGACCTCAGGTGATTCTTTTGTCCAGAAAGTACCCCCTTTGCATTGACATTCCGTATCTCTGTTGGTGTCGCAGGGACTTTTCTCCACTTTATCTGGACAGAAAGCAAAGTCTTAATGGATCCCTCAACCCTTCCTCCACCCGGACCCCTCCCCACTCAGCTCAACTCAGGTCAACAAGGAGCTCCTTGGGCCACTTTCTGCACTAAGCCAGTTGGGGCACACAGAGGACAGAGCCCTTCAGCTCTCACCAATAGTCAGAGTCATTTAACAAGGACCAACATCCATTACCTATTATATCAGATGAGGGGAAAAAATAGTTATATAACACAGTCAGTAGCTAGGGAGGTGCAGGGGGAGAACCTGAGAGAGCCTGGCAGGAGAGAAGCCCTTGGGTGACTCCCCAAAAGCCTGGGTCTGCTGGAGAGGAGGAAGGAGCCTGAGGATGGGAGGCTGAGAGAGGTGGAGCACCTCCCCGGAGCACAGAGCTGGGGACAGAGAGCCTGGCCCAGCACCAGACCAGTGTCACAGCTGAAACCTGGTGCTTTCCCCTCAGCCACACCTTCTCTATGCTGTAAGGTCACCCACCCCCTTGCAAGGAATAGTATAAAACTACTGCTATTCTATTTTACAGCTGTAATATAAAAGATTTCCCTACCTGGTGGCATGCATTATGAAATAATCTCTGTTTTATTTATTTAATGACTCAAAGATATACTCATGGAACATACAGGGTATGGCGAAGACCAGGTTGGACTGGAATCCAGGTCTCCTGATGCCACTTATGCTACAACTTTGATGTCAGGACCCTGCATCCCACCTTCTGGTGCAGGGTCTACATGTTCCGTACCAGAGCTACAAGCCGTGCAGAGGATGCAGGAGAGGAGCTCATTCCGGTGAGTAGTATAGTCTATTCCGTATCTGCAGGGCAGACAATATGTACCGTCTTCTGAGAGATGCGTTCCTGGGAGGGGAGAGAGAATGCTGGTGAACGAACCTTCACAGGATTCTCCAAGGCGGGAGTGCTCTTCTTTCAGCCATCAGTGGACTCCAAACAGGGAAATCCATTGTACCTGGCTGGTCAGGTCATCGATTCTGCATTTACTACCTACCTACCTTAGACCAACACTGCTAACAGAAATACAAGCCACACATGAAATTTGAATTCATACTCGCCAAGCGAATCAAGTGAAAAGAGGTCAATTAATTTTAATAACACATGTAACTTAATATATGTATAGCCAAAATAATATAAGTTAAATATAACATTAATGTAAAACATGGAGATATTTTACCTTATTTTTATATTATGTTTTTTAAACCATAATGTCTATTCCCCACTCGTGACATATCTCAATATGAAGCAGCGTATTTTAAAAGATCACCAGTCACATGGGTCTAGGGACTTCTTGTATTCAACAGCACCATCCTAGACTCTAGAAACTCACACAAGTCCTAATACCTGTCCTTAATGAGCTCCCAAAGAGTGAAAGATAAGAGCAGGAACAGAAGTGCTACAATAATGGGAAATGCCTTAATAATCGAAGCTCATGGCTCGGCACCTGTGGCTTAAGTGGCTAAGGCACCAGCCAAATACACCTAAGGTGGCAGGTTCAAATCTAGTCCGGGCCCGCCAAACAACAGTGATGGCTGCAACCAAAAAAAAGAAAAAAAAAGCCAGGCATTGCAACAGGTGCCTGTGGTCCCCACTGAGGCAGGAGAGTCACTTGAGCCCAGGAGTTGGAGGTTGCTGTGAGCTGTGAGGCTCAGCACTCTACCCAGGGGGACAGCTTGAGGCTCTGTCTCAAAATAATAATAATAATAATAATAATAATCAAAGCTCATGTCATCAGCCATGGAAGGAAAGTGGGAAGAAAAATGGGCCCTACTTCTAGATAGTCAAAGAATGAACCAGAGAAATGGAAGCCAAACCTACCCTGGAAAGGACAACCATTTTGAAATGGGAAAGTGTGAGTCTTCCCAACTTTCTTTTTCTTTTACAAGATTGTTTTATTGGCTCGGCGCCTATAGCTCAACCGGCTAAGGCGCCAGCCATGTACACCTAAGGTGGCGGGTTCGAATTCCCAGCCCGGACCCGCCAAACAAC